AAGACTTAAAAAAATGTACATACAATGTTTCATACTGCATTAGGCTGATTGAGAGACTGCCTTCTTGGAGAAAACCTGAGCTAAAGAAAGCACACACCTATTTCCAATAAAAATGCCACTGGTGAAGAAAACTTGAGGAGCTCATATGATAACTTCTGTGTTACGATAAGATAGCAAATGTCTCATTAGTGGAGTCAGAAATTTTTTAGACATTATCTTGAGAGGCTTAAAATTTTCAGATTTAATCTCTAAATAATGAGGAAAAGCATGTATGTGATATTAGTGGAAATGCTTAGAGTGCAAAGAACCTTTGGAGGCTTTCCCATTTTATTTAATTTTTCCTGATTTGCTCACTGCCTGCTCTTCCATTAGACTGTTAGTACACTTCGAGTTGTTACAAATCTAATGGCACAGTAGGATCCTGATGGAATAACTTTCAGGTTGTTTAAGTGCACTACTCTGCAACCTAAGGCATGTGTATTTTGTATCAGACTGTTTTCTAGAACCTCTGTGAATCAGTGTTTACTAACAGGAGGCATGCATTTCTTTTAAAGGTTTTATTAATGAGCTAGAAAATGGGACGCTTACTTTGTGATGGATATGCCCTGAAAAACTTAGAGTGAACAGATTACATTATTAATCTAATAATTTTGCTTGTTTTATTAATCTAATGGGTAATTGTTCTGTAAAGAATAGATTCTACCAATCTGTTTTTACTGAGCATAGAATTCTTGTACCTATTTTTGCTCCATCGCATAAAGTAGAGATATGAATTGGAATCTCAGAAAAGCAGTAAGTAATAATTGCTCAAAATACTTTTAAATACTTAAAGAATACAATTAAAGAAGCTTTCTGTTTTGTGGTTTCCAATACACTTCCCTATTGCTATGCTGTCCAAGAGTCTAGTAAATTTGTGCAACCGCTTTTTAAAAGTATAAAATCTAGTGCTGTTTTTTTAGTATTATTCACAGTACTTGCATGTATATCTTCTTAAAATGCCTTTTTTTTTTAGTTTAAAGGACCATGCACATCTATAAAATATTTTTATTTTATAGGTCTTTTATCTTTTGGAGTAAAAGAATCTGCGTGGGTGAATAAAATTTTCACGGCTATTAACATCTTGGTCCTACTCTTCGTTATGATTTCTGGTTTTGTGAAAGGAGATGCTGACAACTGGAAAATAAGTGAAGACTATCTCATAAACCTTACCGCAGTAACAGAGTAATTTTTTTTTTAAAAAATCAATTTACTTGCTCATATTCCAAGCAATTTTCTGTTATACTTGCTTCAGTGGTATTGCAGGTAATATATAAACTAATAGCTCTGTTGCTGGGAATGGTAAACTTTTTATTCCCTTAAAAATAGATTTTTATTGTCTTGTTTGTAGTTTCCTTTAAAAAATCATCTTATTTCAATACTATTGTCCATAGCCATTTGAAAGTTACTGGCTTCTCGTCCCTAAACCGTGTATTAACTGCAGTATGTGAGTATGACAGCAAGAGTTGCCTACGCCATTAGTGTTCTAATATGTTTTGCCACAAACTGCAAAGTAAGTAAGATGATAGTTACTTGATTTGAGTATTCTTCCATTTACTGTTATTTTTTTTCTTTCTTATAAGCTTTGACATAAAAAGGTCTGCTCGTGCAGTTTTGTAAAGCAGAACTGTGTCTTGATGAGAGCATTTTAACATGTTTTTCCAGAGTGGTAGGGGAGGAGGATGCATGTGTTTGTCCTACCAATAATAGTAATAATAATAATAAAGTTATTTTTCTGCTGTATTTTTATTCTTTATAGGAATTGCTCATCCTATGAGAATGTGACAAGTATATATGGGAGTGGTGGCTTTATGCCATATGGTTTCACAGGAACATTGGCTGGGGGTGCCACCTGTTTTTATGCTTTTGTAGGATTTGACTGCATTGCAACAACTGGTATAGTATTTATATGTGTGTGTATATATATATGTATAAGTATATATGTATGACATGCATTTTTTCTAAAAAAACCCCACACAAACAACATTACAACCTGTCTACTATTCTTCCTTTGCTTTCTCTGAAACCTCCTTCAGTCCAGGTGGAACAAGTCTGAGTTCATTCCTGAATGTGGCTATTGTTCTGGGAGCAAGGAGGACATTTTACTTATTTTATTCCTGTTCTAAAGATATTAATTGTTGCTTTCTAAGTCTGGGAAGTGCTTAGTAAACGATTTTTTCTGCCCACATCATATTAATCACCTGCTCACTTTTACAATTCTCTGAGATGAGGTAAAGGCTTGTATATGGCTGATTGGGAATGAGTACATTGAACTTACAAATTGTAGGTAAATAACTAGAAATGATGGGCTTTCAGTACTCTAAATATAGAATGTATTTTATGTCCTTTAGTTTACCTCTATTTTTTAATGCTGTTTCTGGCAACAAAATACTCAGTTTTGTTCCGTGTCACTGAGCTTATTTTATACAGAATTGTAAAACTTCTATTACAAATATGATTCCCATGGCTTAGATTAACAAATTATTTGTCTTTTATCTTGCCTTTTAAAGCTGAAGGTGGAAATCAGTAAGAATTTTGGTGAGGCTTTTTTTTTTTTTTTCCAGGAGAAGAGGTCAAGAATCCTCAGAAAGCCATACCCATAGGAATTGTGGTGTCCCTGCTTGTCTGCTTCATGGCCTATTTTGGGGTTTCAGCTGCACTGACACTTATGATGCCATACTATCTACTAGATGAGAAAAGTCCTCTGCCAGTAGCTTTTGAATATGTTGGATGGGGTCCTGCAAAATATGTTGTAGCAGTGGGATCCCTCTGTGCTCTGTCCACAAGGTAAAGACATTGCAATATTAATTTTATTGGGAGAAGCTGATGGATGATAGATGACATTTAAATATATGTTCATGTGTTCATTTTGAAGGCTCAGTTCATGAAAGGATTAGCAATAAGTATTATAAGCATGTTTTAGACTTAAGCAGGTCTTGATCACAGTAGGTGCATTCATTTAAGTTCCTTTTTTAAACTGTGCTGCTATTGAACTGTACTTCTTTGGCTTATTACCCAAAAGTTTTTTTATTAAAATATGTATTTTCAGACATATGACCCGCAAGTTATTTTTATTAACTGATAAAATAAACCTCACCCATTTTGTGCTTTCTTGCTGTCCACTCCCAATGATTCAGCAGCTTTATGGGCTCTGTGTATTTGCAGGCAAAATTGAAGAGATGATTAACTAGCTCCACTGCTCATCTTCATTGCCTGTCTCTGTTTTCCTCCAGTAGCCAGTCTGTCTTCTGACATCATCCCTTCCTGTGGTTTCTGTGTGGGTAATCGAGATGTAGATTATTAGCTGTGAAAATATTATCATTTAGTCCCCTTTGTGAAACTGTGGATGTAACCTTAACTTAACGTGTTATTTTGATTAAAAAGATCAGGGAGGGCATGAGATATATTAGTATGTGTTCATATATATTACACCCCAATTGTAATGTGGTATAAACACTTTCATGGTATAGAAAATTGTTTGATACTTGAATTTAGGGATAGAAAAATGCTGATGCCAGTCTTCTAAGTGAACTTATGTAGGTAAGGAGTCATTTACATGAGCTTCAGTGGTAAGAAAACTGGCTGCCTTTCCACAAAGGAAAACGACACACCAGTTGAAGCACTAATGCTAAGAGCACTCCAAGATAACCCAGTAAGCATTAGCCTGAAGAAAATGAGCACGCTGACTGTGGACAATGGTTTAAAGGAAAGGAATATTTTTATGTAGGAGGGGATAGAAAAAGGAAATAGTTCCAGAACGACAGTAAAAGAATTGCAGGGCTGACTGAAGAATGTCATAGTTAGACAGTTCATTCTGGGATTATAGTTATTTTCTATCTAGTTGTCATGGTCTCCTCAGTTTGGATGGTTTTACTGAATTTTTCCTCTATATTGATAAATAGTAAAAGTGATATATAAACAGAAACTACATTAAAGAGAAACAAAATGAACTGAGATGGTAAAGTGCTTTTTCAGAAATTTGAACTGGTGATCTCTTTTTCCAGTGTGTTCTGAAGAATTATATTTACTCATAGGGAGAGGTTAATCCTTCAGTCTGTTGACTGATGTCAGTTTAGAACAAAACAAAGAAAATTGTATTTCATATTCCTCAGTTTAGAGGTATAAGTAAGACGAAAAGTTGGGATCATTGCTTTTGGTCCATATAGTTACCTCTTCTTACGTTATGTCATGAACTTGTTTCCTCAGGGTACAGATGTTTGTTAATATTTCTGTTGTTTATGTGAATGTACTTACAGAGAGGTAAGATAAATAAATTTTACAAAGCCACAACAGCAGAAAATTTGGCAGTGGATTTTAACAGTATCCTTATTTGAAAAATCAATTGTCACCCTGATTCAGGGAACATTCTTTTTTGCAAGGGACATTCATACTTCAAAATTAGTTCATGTGCAATGAAACTTCTCTCGTGTGTCTAACCTTGATGCTTGTGTCTCACAAGCATTACCGAAGGTACTTAGCATCTGTGGTATGTAAAAGCTGTGCCTTCTGTAGGTGATATACTCAATTCCCTGAAGTAAGAAAGGCAACCATTCACCTGGTTAAAAACTAGTGTGCTTGCTGCAGAGGTTATACTGGCTATGATTTTGCCTTTTGTCCTTTCAATGTTTTTGGTTTTCTTAATTACAATTATTTTGCTTTGAGGGAAAGAAACCACCTAATTTAAGAAGTATATTTAAAAAGATCTTTGAGTTATCAACAGTTTAAAAGCTTTCTGTGTTCTGCTAATAACAAATCTAAATTAATTAGCTTTACTTCTTCCAAAAAAAAAAGAAACAATCTTAATGAAGCTTTGGCTAGAGGTGCTTTAATGGAAAGAAGTAATGTGCCCAAGTATAACTGTATGGTGCTTACTTTAATTTACTGTTAATCAGCAGCCTCACATGGTGTAAGAGTGTAAGAGATGCTGCTAATGCTTATTGATTTGCTGCTGCTGACTGACAGACTTTCTCCAGGAATACTAAAGCTTAATTGCATAGTTAGTGTGACCTGGAACATGTTCCTGGTCCACTAATACCCAAGAACTACAGTGATGGCAAGAGTTGTTTTACTAATCTGAATTCTCTCTGATAAAGCAATTCCATTACCTAAATTATTAAAAAAAAGAAAAAAGGCAAGGAATCAACTTTACAGGGAAAAAGAAATTTCTATTTGTGTCTGATCTGTAGTATCTTGGGCTATGGGGCTTTCTGGTTTTGTCTTACAATCAAAAATTTTGTTTCTATACATGCCATTAATTAACATTGTTTATCGTGTCCATGATACAACTCTGCATGAACTGTGTTTGCCATGTTGCATGTGTTTGCTTTTTACTCAGTCTTCTTGGATCCATTTTCCCAATGCCACGTGTAATCTATGCTATGGCGAAGGATGGGTTGCTTTTCAAATGTCTAGCTCAAATCAGTTCCAAAACGAAGACCCCACTAGTTGCTACTCTATCGTCTGGTGCAGTAGCAGGTGAGACTTAGAGTTGATCCTTGTAAAGAAAGGTGCTCTGCTAAACACGTTGCATATATGGAAACAAACCACTGTTGTGCAGCTTTGATTTGCTTTGGACTGAAACGATCAAATCTGATTGTTGCCAGGTAAAGTAGGCCACCAGTAAAACTTTTGTTTACCACAGATTTTGTATTTGTTGGTTAATATCGAGTGCTTTCAAAGCCTAGGTTCAAAATAAACAACCCAAATCCAAGAACATCAGTCAACCAAACAAAAAACGAAGAGCAGCAACACAGAGCCTAAACCAAAACTATACCTAAACCCATTAACTCTTCCAAACTTTCTTTTTGTGTAGTTGGGTTTACCAGTAAAGCATTGTGCTTTTAATAACCTGTGTTTGAACTATACATTTTTCTGTTCTAGTCTTCTCGGCTCTATGTTCCCTTTGCCCCGAATTCTGTTTGCCATGGCACGCGATGGTTTACTCTTTAGTTTTCTTGCCAAAGTGAGTAAGAGGCAGGCACCAGTTTCTGCCACCTTGACAGCAGGGGTCATCTCTGGTAAGCTCTCAAAGCCCGTGTTACTTAAAACTGAGATTTAAACACTCTATGCACGTGCATGGTACTTTATATTTTTGAAGAGGGCTGCTTGTTAACTTCCCTTGCATGTACAATGGGAATAAAATTACTGAGTAATCAAAGGGTATAAGAACTCCAGATCATGCCAATCATGGTGGTGGTGATGTCCTTAATGTTACAGAATTCAAAAAGATTTTTATTTTTTTTTTTTTAGTATTGGCCCTTTGTATGGTGAATAAGCTTGTTACTTAATCTGGGTCCGTTAGGCCGATGCTCTACTTACAGGGTTTCCTTGTCTGATGTACACCTATATATTTATCACATCTATAAGGGGGGAAAATAACTGTCACATTTTTTATTATGAAACATGAGAAAAAAATTCTACATTTGCAGCAGGATCAACTTTTGTGTAAAATACAAAGATTTTAAATTTTTTTTCTAAAGGAAATGATTCTGATTTTGTACAGGCTTACCAAATTGTGGTTGAGGGGTATGTGTGTGTGCTGGGGGGTTATGTGTGTATGCACATGTAAGTATGCACACACATGCCCACATATATTTTAGCAAAACAGCATTTTGGGAGCTCTTGCCAACTCTTAATGTTTCACAAAGAGAAATTCTTAATATACAACTGTTTCACTTTTGTCTATACTTCTTACAGAGGTACATGTAGCTGTGCCCAAATTTCATTGTCGTTTCAGTGGGATGTCTAATTACCCAGGAAAACTGGAAGCTCTAGAAGTATTTAACTCGAAGGCAAATAAATAATTCTTAAAAGTAATTCAAATATGAAATACATGCCTTACAACATTTAGTAACCCTGGCTAAAATTGATACCAAATAAGAGGTTCAGAACTGAGACTAAAATATTGTTATTTATAGTCACCATCATCCTCAGATGCCACAAGACTGGAACTGCTCACACCATGTACTTAATAATGTGGGAAGGCACAGTCATTGTCCGGATAGTTCCCACATGAAGCACTATTATCAGTTCCCTTTTCTTTGGTCAGAGTACAAATAAATTGCTTAGAATGACTTTCATTGTTTTGACTTCATATTATTTGAATTTATAATATTGACATATTCCTCTATAATAATTTTGAAGTGCAGTTATGTGGGATGAACATCTTTATCTGAAATCAGAGTAATGATGAGGAGAAAGAAAACCGTATTACCCAGCTGGTAGACTGATAGATACAGTTATACAGCCCTGACTCTAGCTAAGCAGGTGCTGTCACTTGGACTGCTTTTAGACAGTTTGGGGAATTTGGTGTGTCTGCAACTCACCTGAAGACAGCTTTATCTACTGCTGGACAAGGAGTAATTTCTTCCTCTGTTTTTAAAAAGATGCATATTTGGTAACTTGTGGTCATAGTTTTGCCAGAATAGTTACAGATATATGCAACAGCTTATATTATCTGACTTTTCTATTCATTTGTAGCATGGATAGTTTCAAAGCTTTAAGAAATGTTAGGCCCCTTAGTTAAAGTTACCAGGCAAAGACCACAGCTGAGGAAATTGTCACATGTTATTACTGTGACTTACCTTTTCACAGGTGGTAATCGTGATTGCGAAACTCTGCACGTGGCAAAATGTTTTGGTGTCACTGCAAGGTTTCACCATCAACTGACCTACCACTGTTTCTTGGAATGGAATTAGGAGAGGTGGAAAAGTGATACTGTGTCTTTTTTTCTCTTAGTCAGAAACTTATAGGCATTTTTCAGTTTGATTCTAATAGAAAAGAATATGCTGGGCTACAAAGTAGCCTCTCAAAGCTAGTATTAAAAATTAAATATAGCTACTGTACATGAGGTTATAGTAGGTTCTGTTCTTCCTCAACTTTGCTTACCTATGCTCTTTTGAGCATGCAAAGCAGTGAGGTATTCAGAAATCTACCCCGTAAATGACTTCTTGGATTTAGGAACATCCAGCGTCATTAAATAAAACAGGATGGTTGTCCTTCCTTCATTGGAAAAGGTCTTTCACAGATGAAATAAAGCTTGTGTAACACAGCAGTCTTGTTCTCAGAAAATCACATTTTGCTTTCTCCTTCAGGATCAAATACAGGAGAATGTGTGTTTGTGCATTTATACACCTGTCTACAAATACAATAACAAGCACGTAACATAAATATTATATATAAGTATTTCTGAGCATAGAAAAATTTATGTGTGCATATACGTACAGTGTATAAAGGCTATGTTTAATAGTTTCTTTTGATGTTGAGATTACTGATGGTTCAAGAGATTAAGTATTCTTAAATTCTTTCCGCATCTCAATAATGTTAATAAAATACAAATACTTTAAGAGGTTCTTTGACCACATATATTTCAAATCAGTTAGCATTAGCCTTTCATTTAGTGATGGCTTGTGCTAATTTCTTTATGAGCTATGTGTGTCTGTGTGCAAACAGCATAGACAAACAAAGACATTCCAGAATCTCCAAAAGAATGTGGCATTAGCTTTTATAAACACAGAGACTGCTATAGTCACTCTTAGTATCATGGAAGTTTCTGCTTCTGATTTCAGTGATCTCAAGAATATTAATGCTCGTGAGATTTTGCTGGCCTTTCCTGAATGCCACTTGAACTTAACTTTTTCTTAGTTTTGTGGGTTTTTTTAAATTGATTATCTTACTACTTTATTCAAGAAAACTCCTGAAAGTCCTCTTTACATAGAGCTCTTTTTCAGCTCAGCAGAAATTTTACATACTGGTGACTTACTGGGTTGGGTCATTTTTACTCAGTTTTGCTGTGGGATCACTTCTCTCAGCTTTGGTGAGATTCTGTTGCAGGCTCTGAACCTTATTCTATAAAAAATGTATTTTTAATGTGGCCCCAATTCAACAAGCCATGTGCGCAAGTACTTATGTCCAAATAAGTCCAATACGAATTGCTTGATTATGCAGCATGACTGTACGGCTCATCAGTGCATATCTATATGAATGAGAATCCCAACTGTAGGGAATTAGGTTTGGGAATGTTGGCGATGACTTCAAAAATGTGTTTTTAAGGATTATCATGATTTCAGCCATGTTGCTGTCAGTAAAACAATGTAAAGTTACACTGTGGACAGATTTTAAAATCTTAGCCCTTAATGTGTCTTAGTATTAATCTTAGCACTTATGGTTGGACTCAATCTTAAAGGTCTTTGCCAACCTAAACAATTCCATGATTCTATGTCAGCCTCATACAAATTTTGCATTTTCTTTTCTTTTTTTTTTTTAAGCTATAATGGCATTTCTGTTTGACCTAAAGGCTTTAGTGGACATGATGTCTATTGGTACACTTCTTGCTTATTCACTTGTAGCAACCTGTGTCCTCATTCTTAGGTGAGTCAAAACCATCTTTTGTATTCTACTGTGGTTTATTTTGTGTTGGTCAGTATAAACACAGAAGTGACATTTACATGGTATGATTTTTGCTAGGTAGCTAAACGTTTAAAAATTAGCCATATGCATAGAAATGATTACTAAGAAGCAGTGACCCACCAAAGAAAACAATGATATATTGTCATATCAGTATAGCAGTTAGTCAATTCAAAGCGTTATTTTCCAGAAGACGTTTAGGTGCAAGCATTAGTCCCAGAGGTACTGCATGTAACCTTGTGTACAAAATTCAATGAATGGTATTTTGATATGAATACAATCTATGCTGTACATCAAGCTTATTACATTGTGGGGGCTATAGGTTAAAAGTGTACATGTTCTAGGTAGATCACAGGATGAACAAGTTCAAATAATTGCTTTGTATTAATCTAGTCAGAAACATAAGGCCAAACAAGTGTTTCACAATGTGGTAGCCCTAGAAGATAGTGCAAATATTATCTCTCAATGAGTGAGACTATAAATACTTGTCAGTAAAATCCTGGTATCTGTTCTGTTTGTAAAGCTATGGAATAATATTGATATATTGGTAGCTACACGTCACTTTATTATGTATTGCTCTTTTTAATTTTAAAAGTCAATCTCTATTTCTTAAGGCTAAGTAATTAACTTTGAAAAGTATAACAGCTTAAATTCAGCTCAAATTCATTGTTGCAATAATTTACACTTTAAAAGATAAGACTATTTTCTCCCATAGTGACTTATTTAACATATGTACTTTTAAAAATACACTTAAATTCTAACAAAGCAGATGTTAAATTTCAGTTTATGCCAGTGAGTAGGCCTCTTACAGTACAGGAAGCAAGTCAGAAAGAAACTCCCCTATCCCTTCCCTGCCATTGACCACCAGACCCTGTACTCTCTTTTTGTACGAGACTGGTCATTTATCTGACCCATTGGTGCATTCATGTAGCTTAAAAAACTGTCCAATAAATGCCCAAACAAACCCAGCAAAACAGTGAGTTGCCATAGTTTGTTTAGACATGATAGTGACTAATGATAAATGCTGTTGCAGTGCAGTTATAAATTCGGAAATTCTAAACCTCTACTGCAAAGAATTTAGTATTTAAATACATTCCTAGAATCATATTGCTTCAAATCCCAAAGTGAGCTTAATTTTATTATTATCCTGTTTGTTTTATGCATAGGTACCAACCCAGTTTAACCTATGAGCAAGCAAAGTATTCTCCAGAAAAAGCAGCTTTGGCTGCATCTGAAAGGGAATCTGCAGTAAGTGAATCACAGATAAATATGATACAAGAGAATCACTTCAGTCTTCAGGCCCTGATTAATCCATCCAGTTTACCCACTCAGCAGACTGCAACTACTGTTAACTTTTTAGTGGGTCTCTTAGGTAAGTATTCAGCTGTCCAAACTCATATAATGTATTAACATAAATAATGGAATTTTACTAAAGACAAAATTAAAAATCCAGTGATAACATGCCTTCTTTCAGTCATAGTTAATGTGTCATTCTGCAGAATGCTTTTATACTTCTTGATGGATCTAATCTGTAGTCTGGTATATTTTCCTTTAATTAAACATTTTCATGATAACATTTCATACTGAAGACCTGCTATCATTCTTCTTAAAAGTCACTTGCTCTTTGATGCAGAGATTAAGTGACCTCTTTCCTATTTTTTCCATCATTTTGTTTTTCACACAGCTTGCTTGGTTTGTGGCTTGAGTGTCCTCACTACATATGGGATTCATTTCATTGCTAACTGGGAGCCCTGGAGTATTGGCCTTCTTGCTGTGTTGGTGGCGTCCTTCATAGTTACCATTCTCCTCATCCAAAGGCAGCCTCAGAACCAGCAGAAAGTGGCCTTTATGGTGAATAACATATTCTCTATGTTATTCTCTAACGAGAGGTTTGGATGGATTCTAACAAGCGGGAGAGGGACAGAGAGAGAGAGAGAGAGAGAGATGGTCCTTTTTCAGGCAGTCTTTCATTACTGTGCTGCCACTATTGCAGGTTTTTTGGTGAAGGTAAGGGTAGCGGATGGTCATGGCTGAATCACCGGCATGTGCAGTCCAGTCCAGATCTTCTCAGGACTGGAAAAAGGGTTTTATTGCCCATAGATTGAATGTGTGACATGCATAGGAGCATGGCTGCAGAAAATGGCTGTACGATGGTGTGAACAGCTGCTATTACAACTAGTGGATCTGACAACGCTGATCTTCTAGGTATTCCTTTAGGCGCATCCTCAAAATGCACATTGCTGAGATCCAAGTAATTTTAGACCTCAATTTAAGCAGTTAGAAACTTGAAAACGATTCAGAAACTGATTAGTAGTGTACAATCACTTGTCTGTGTTGTGTGCAATGCTTTGGACCACAATACAGTTTGTACCTCCCAAAATATAATCCTTTAATTTTGAACTTTCACTTTTGTTCTAAGCTCAGTTATTTAATGGAGTATTTAATGGAAATAATGACATACAGTGATGAAGGTCAAGGAATTTGGTGGAGTTGGGAGGGCATTTCAGAAAGAAGGGATATATATAAATGTATAATATTTTTCAGTTGTAGATACAGGAATTCATTAGTATATGGTCAGCAACTGGAAAGTTTTTCTACGCAGCCTTAGAGAATATATATTAAACATAATGTATTTTAAAAGTTTAAGATATGTAGAAACTGATGGTTAAACCCAGTGAAAAAGAAAATTTTACTATATTCCAATAAAAATAATTTTTCAATTCTTTCTTAGTGGTTAGATGTGTCACCTCTAGTTTGTGTTGTACAACTGAAGTGTGACATGTAAGAAATTATATTTAATACAAACATATTAAATACTTCTTTTAGGTTCCACTATTGCCATTTTTGCCATCATTCAGTATCTTGGTAAATATTTACTTGATGGTACAATTAAGCAGAGACACTTGGATCAGATTTAGCTTCTGGATGGCACTCGGTAGGTACTTCTGTTCATTTCACTCACTTCCTCTGTTAGGACTCATGAATCCCATCTTAGAACATATGATACTCTTCCTTTAAATATTTGGAAAAAAGTCTATGTTTTAATAAAAGTCGCCTGCTATTTCTGATCAAAACAAGAGCATGCTTCAGAAGCAGCATTTATGTGCAGTCAAAATTTTAAACACAGTTTGAGGCAATAGGAAGAATCAAAGTTATAGGACTAATTCCAATAAGCCACTTTTTTTTTTTTTTTCCCTAGTAAGTATAACTAAAATTGTGCAGAAACCCGTTTGTAACAGGTTTCTTCCCAGTATATCAGTCATTCTCCTTTATGGTACAGAAAATTGTATTGATTCCATCTAGACGTAAATTAGAGATAGTAGTTTCCATGACCTATTAGAGCATTTAATTACACAAAAATGATGCACTGGAATTTCCGTAGGAACAGGGAAGACCTGAAGCTTGAGCTCTGATTCAGATACCTCAAGAAGAAACTTGCTTTGGAAAATATGTTCAGCCAGAGAGTAATTAACTACTTTTTAATGCACTACTTGCCTGAAAACTCTATTAACATTTTTTTTCCTTTTGGAAGGCTTCCTCATTTACTTTGCTTACGGCATCAGACACAGTCTTGAAGGTCATCGTAGCGATGGAGATGACGATTCTTGTTCAGAAAATAGCAGGTTGCAAGAAAAGAACCCTGTGGAAGAAGTGGATGAACCTGAAAATGCAAATGAAAGTGATCAATTTCTTGCACATGAGAGGACAAGTGAATGTTAATCTATGCAAACACACAAGTCTTTTAAACCTTTAATTGACATTTTACTTGCAGACTGAAATTTCAAAAGCTTTCTGCCAACATTGTGCCTCTTCAAAGTGTTTACTACAAGGCCTGGCTGATATTTTGGACAAGCTGCTAATCCATCTTCACCATTTCAGAACTGACAGCATGGAGATTAATATTTAATTTAAAAAACAAACAAGAGAAGTCCCCTTTGGCAGGCAGAAATTTGGTTGCATTGTTTGTTGGACTGCATTTTTGTTGTCACAAAATATGAAGAATTTTAGAACTGCCTACAAGAAGTTCTGAATATTTGACACTGCATTGTGAACACAAGTGCCTTTCATACCTTCTCCTTATCTCTGTTAATGTGTTTCGGTCACAATCTAATAGCTCTCTTCTTTCTACAGAAGTAACTCTCATGGGAGATAAATTACAGACAGGCCTGATAAGTATTTGCAAAACGAATGGTAACTGTACAGGTCTGATACTTTGCAAAAAGTAGAGGATCATACATTGATGTAAAAAGAAATAATTGCTTAGCTTTACTAATCAGTAGTCGTGGAGAACTCCAACAGTAAAGATACTTCAAAGGCTTTTAGTCCTCTAAATAGTATTCAAGATTACTATTTATGTGAATTCCTTTCCTTCCAGAGATGCTGTGTGTATAAAATAATACTCTCAAGAGGAGCTATGCTGTTTTCTGCAAAAGCATCTGGGAAATAATCTGTTGGTCACAGTATTGACAGTGATGTTTGTATGTGATTTAGCAAGTATTGTGCTTTTGATTTCAGAAGGGCCGGGATTTTATCCCTGACTACGTACTCCCTTGGTACTTACATGCAGCAGGCACTAAGTTTTCCTCCTTACTACTTCTTTATTCCTCCTATACTTTCTTCTCCTTTATCATGTACCAGAGCTGATATTTCTGAGGTTAGTTGTTACACTTTGCTTCTCCTCAGAAAATTTAATGCACAAAATCTCAGCTTTCTTTTCAGATGGAAGGGGATATTAAATAAACAGAGGCCCAGGCTTTGGAAAAAATCCTCATCAAAACAGTGTTTCAGCGCTTCGCTAAGCCTTAAACATACGTTAGCACAGCAGTTTTTCATGAGCCAAGCCTACATCCACAAATCCATTCATGTGGGTAGAATGTCCAAGTGCTAATTTTAGTCAAGAATCCAATTGCTGCAGCAGTGCTGAGCGAACAGTTATTTTAAAGCTGGTGAAAATGGAAACTGTTCTTCTTTCAACATAAAAGTTATGTTCCCTGTCAAAGCCACCCAGATATTTTAACACTTTTTCTCAGCAAGTAGTACGCTCAAGTCCCAGTTATAAAAATAACTTCCCTAAAGTAAGAACTGTCTTGGACACTGTCATGGAGAGTTGCAGTCTGTTGTCGGTACTAATCGTGGGTATCAATCTCTGTCATTAGGTGTAAAACCTTTAGATGCCATGAGAGCTATGTTGGCTGACAGTGAAAAGCACCTTACTTTTTATAATAGCTGGAACTTTGCAAAAGAAAGAAAAAAAAAAAAGAGAGAAACTAGTTAAGCTGCTTCTGTCTCTCTCCTGTTCTTTTTCACAGCAATAGAATCACGCTTTTTAATATTAAAATGACTTCTGTTGTTGTAAGAGAGCAGCGTGCTTAAATGTTGAAGGGCAGAAGGAGGAGCGCTTCTTGATAGAGAAGCCTGCAATGGGCCAGTATCCCACCGTGGGGCAGGTCTGAGGTTTTCAGCCTGGTACCTTTCTTCTCAGCTTGAACTAAGAGGAGAGCGTCCTACCGTGCTGGCAGCAGCGAGTGGATGGATAAACGTGGGTGGTTGTACCAGTAGCCTCTATGGCTACTCAGAATTAGGAGTAGCCCTCTGAAAACGTAAGAGGAACGCAATAGGTAATACACCTGCCTCTTAACTGAGGTTCCAGTGTATACATCCTCTTAACTGCAACCACTGTTGTCCTGAGGACCGCTATTCTAGCAATTGGTGGTCCTTAGAAATGGATGGGACAGAAAGGATGAGGAGAAACTATAGGGTAAATGGCAATGGGATACTGTTTTTTAATATATCCTAATCCATCCAGAATTGATCATAAGTTATAGCCACTTATTTCCACAACTCATCATCATTTTACAAATGCCATTAAAGAAAGACTCAAATCTCATGTTAGGCTAATACAAGTAGATGATAGGCTAAGTAAATATTTAGTTGGTAGGAACAGATAGGAATTCTCAGGGCAGTTCTCAGAGCTGTTGATAATTTTCAACACCTTTATTCAGTGAATGAAAGAGCTGTCTATGCCAGTTGGATCTGCTAGTTTAATTGCACTTCTCAACTGGGGCCCATTTTTATGCCAAAAATGACAAAAGAACTATACGTTCTTGTTTGAAATATTAGAAATTTAAGACTTTCCAGGCTCTTGAAACGAATCCAATGTAGTAATTCTTAGATACGTCAAAACAAAGGTCTCATAAGTAACCAAAAAGTTGAGTAAATGAATGTATGTTCTGTTGTTTTTATTCCCACACATATTTGAAATGGAGAAGCTGATGCTTTTCCTCATCAGCTACAACTCTGTCAAGAACACAGCTTCTTCAGTGGTTATACTTTCAGAGGACGTTCTTAACCTGCCTTGCCCGGTACTCTTAAATCCTCAGCTGCAAAAAATGCCATTGCTGTGGGAGCAAGTCAAGCTTTTGCATGATGTCTTTACAAGGCTACAGTGAAACACAGCTCTTTTAAAATTCCTTACACATCTGGGTGCGTGGGAAGCAGAGACTTACTTTTTCCTACAGCTGCTGATGCTGCAGAGCAGGTGAGCCAGGCTCCCAAGATGCAAACTGCTGCTGTTCTGTGATGTGCAGGGAAGACCCCATTCCCTCCCAGGGCCGTCGTATGGAATGTGTGTGTGCGTGCCTGTCTATATGTTTGCAGCCATCTGACATTAGCCCATGGTGATTTTGATGTACTGGTTGAAGCAATTTCTATACTGCACTGGAATTTTCCTTTGAAGGGATACTGTCAATATAATAAACTTCTGACTAAAGCAAGTGCTAGCTAAGGCTTCTGGAGATAATTAAAGAAAATAAATCTTCCAGCTTATTTACCTAATGGGTGTGTCAGCACTTTGTGTATTGACAGTTTCCCCTTTCACTTGTATGAACATTTCTCCCCTTTTGTTAGGGAAATTAATATATAAAAATAAAATAATATGCCTGTACAAATGTTGTTAAGGGAGATGGGAACAGCTGCAGCACAGGAACTATCCACTTAACTAATGAGATATAAAATGATATTAAAGGAAAGTCATTGGGTATTCTTGGTTGCTCCAACTGTGCAACGTTTATTTATATGTGTGTATAGTTAAAGTCATTATTAGTCAGTGGCTGAGTAAGAGCAAGACAAGCCAGAAGTAAGGTATTTACGGTAATTTTGGTATGCATTTGTATATGCGGTCTTGAAATTCCAGATGCTTTTGTGGGACTTTGCAGGAGCCGTGGCCATGCCATGCTAGTCCTTACACAGGAGCCATGTATGAAACAAATCCTGATTTTGTTCTCGTGTTTGCTGTATGTCTGTATTTGCTGAGAGAGCAGCTGAAAGCACAAGTCCAGTGGGATTAAATCATTGTTGTTATTTTTAACATAGTTGTTGATACTGTAAATTGTTCTGTGCAAATAATAATGGTATGTGTTAATAGAAAATATCTCTTATTGGAGGTAGCTTACTATTTTTTTCTTTCTTTGTAGAAAAAATTCTCCAAAAACTTTATTTGCCTTGGTACATTCTGGCTATGCCTTTAGATAGAGGAATTATTCTTATCTAGTTGGATTCAAGAAAGCAAGCCAAAGCATATTTAAGGGAGAACAAATAAATCTTTTTGTTCTGAGGGATAAGAGATATAAAACATTTCTGTACAATTCATGTTAACTGAAGTGATCTTCCTGTGGTATTCCAGTTCTAATTCCGCAATAGGAATTTTTATGAGGTATCTTAGATTTCATTGTCCATTATCCTGGATAGAATTATTATGTTAATAATATTATGCTTTTTCCTGCACAACAAAAGCCAGTTAGATTCCTGAAATCTGTCATATTATGTTTATGTCACCATGTGTTAAAGCCATTTATATGACCTGCTGTTAAGAGAATTACCAGTAATAAATGTCAATAGTAGTGATACAGGGTTACTTATGTACTTATGAATTTAACTATGCCACCCAGAAACTTCAAATGATGCAATGAATTTAGAGGTAAAACTTGGTAAAGCTTAAATATACTGTATTTTATTAGATGATAAATATGCAAGTCTAGCCACCTTTCCCCTAAAATTAATGCAAAGATAGAGAGATATATATATATTTAAGAAATAAAAGGCATGCTGTTTTCATGGAGGTTTTAGTAAGTGCCAATATCAGATGTGCCATAAGCAACCTGAGATACTGAAAGCTGAACAACCTGGGCAAAATCCGTGACAGAGCAGGAAATGTGCGTGGGACTGTGCAATCGTTTTAATCAGGTGTGATGCCTTTGACATTGAGGTGCACTTTGTACAGCGGGAATTTAATTCACATGATGGCTGGCATGTCTTACTGGATTACATAGAAAAGAAAAGCAAAGCACCTTTTAATGCTCTTGGGCCCTAATTCTTCCTAGACTTGCCAGGAACTTGGTACAAATTGCAATATGCTCATTGAAAGCACTGAGATTACTCAGTGTTAGACAAATATTTTACAGAAAGAGCAGGTGGTATTTCGTATAGTGTAGGATCTTTGTATTTCCTTGTAATTTCCTGTACCTTTAGTATCTCTTTCTGGTATATGTTTTGAGGACCTCTGCATTTTTAATAGTTAGACCTTTCCAACACAGAATATAATGCCTTTACCGTCTCCTGACCTGTTTTCCATTTGATTTTAGAAATCAAACTCCTTAACATTAGCTAAGTTGAAGGATTTCTGTGCATTACAAAGAACTATGTATATATATCATTATTTTTATTGTCAGTTGGACAAATTCTGTTGTCTTTGATGTTTTCATTGAGCCTTGTGTCAGGTAAACTCCAGCTTCACCAGTACAAGTTTAGTTGGAGACAGGACAAAGGAGAAAAGGATTTGAATGTTTAGGAGGGCTTTTTTCTTTTGTGTTACCAGAAAGTAAAGCATGAAATATGTGTTACATATATTTAAAAATAGTTACGTGTGCATCATTTTAAAAAACATTAGTGTTCATATCCATTTTAGCTTTTATTTTTGTTCGTATGTACATTTTAGTGATTATTTCTGTCATATGCTGCTGAGCATTTAAAATGTAGACAGAATGATTATGATGCAACTTAAACTACAAATTTGTATTCCTTTGAAGTGCTCTACCAAAATGAAAAATC